GTAATCAGTACTCATGTCAGTGGAGATGATGAGTGCTGAAATCTAATGCTTCTGAAGGTCTCCCAAGTTGGATCTGGCTGGTCTCAAACCATGTTAGGAGCGACATACTCAATAGTTGTAAACATGGATCTCTAAAATAACAGCTAATTTCCCACACTACGCTTTTGGGTTCATCTGTGTGTATATTCTAGAGAAAACTGGCAGCCACCATTGTCACCAAAAAAATATTAACACCAAAGAAATGTTAACAAACTTGCCTAAAAAACCAAGTGGGCCATGATATGGACAATGATTTCTCAGAAGCAATTAAGGACATCTACTATAATAGGTACCTTATCAGTAACATAAATCAATCTCATTTTCTCAGCCTCCCTGACTAATTTACCAAGCAACATAGAAAATCTTTAATAGTGCATATGTGTGTCTTCAAAAGTGGGCCTCATAATTTTGGGGTTTTTTGTAGCTTGTACATATAATTGGTCAGTCAATGTGAAATGTTACATAAATATCTATATCTTCTTGTCCTGACAATATAGTAATCCATGCATAGTTATCTAAGCCTTTTATCTCCACTTTCTCATTATTTTTTGTTTGATTCTTTATAAGTGGTGAGAAAGGGAATCAATAGGAGATTTTCTCAGGAACCAGAAAAAGATTTTGTGTTTTATTCCCTGATTACCAAGCCAGCAAACACTAACATCTAGGTGTGATTCCCACAAAAATATAAGTTTGAAGATAAATACATTGAAGTCTTTTCTGGGGGTGTTCATTCAAAGTCACTTCGTAAAAGTTCAGTCTATGAATGTCAGCACTGCAAGAGAGGCAGAAATTTGCATCTACTTGTGCCCCTTTGTGTCACTGGATGACTATGGTTTCTGACACGCAGTTAAAGTGGCTCTAAATGATTGGAATGATTTGCCAAGCTTAGCGATGTGAAATGTGAATCCTGGGCACTAATGCAGTGTGAAGGCTGTGAAATCAGACACTGCATTAGTGCCTATGATTCACATTTCACATCACTAAGCTTGGCAAATCATTCCAATCATTTAAAGCCACTTGAACTGTGGAAGCAAGAGCCTTCACTGAACAAAGCTAACTCAACCTGATTTGTAAAATGGGAGTTGAACAAGCCTCATGCATTAAAGCCCATGGGGAAGAAGTAGCATTAAAAGTCTTTTCATTCAGTTGGAGATCATCTTTATGGCAGGATGTACCATACACCTGATAATTTTGAGGAAATCTATGTTTAGAAAGAAGTGTAATCATTTTGGGATAAACAGAACAGTGAAGATACTTAATGCCAGTATCCTGCTAGTTTCGGCTATGTGTTTGATGTGGTAATCTTCTCTTCCCTTAATGGAAAGATTGTGAAGAGCCTGAAAATAAACTAGGACTACCTCTAGATATAAACAATCAATAGATGGCAGAGTTTGTTAGTGGCTTATCTAATAAATGGACTCTCAGTCCAGGTTGCAGAAAACGCAGGAAGAAAAGAGTTGGCTTTTCAAAGAGATTCCACCTTCAGGATCTCACATAAATCCATGAGGGCTGGAGAGTCCTATCACAATTCCCAAGATTTTATATTCAGCTCATAATTCTTGCATTAACATGTATTGTCAAAGTCCGTATGATTCTTACTTCCTTGATTGTGCCTTCCTCTAAGGCAGTGGTTCTCAACCTTTTTAATGCCGCGACCCCAACTGGTCGTAAGTCGCGGACTAAACCGGTCGTAAGTCGAGGACTAAACCGGTTGTAAGTCAAGGACTACCCAACCGGTCATAAGTCGAGGACTTTCCCTGCCCGGGAGCGCCGCGCATGCATGGTTCCGCCCCCTGCGCCGGCCGAGGCGTAGCTGGCAAGCGGCAGAGACGGAGCAGGCCGACCACCAGCTGGCCCAGCCCAAGGGAGGTAAGGCACCCACCGGAAAAGGGGGAAAAATGGCGGATAAAAAAATGGCGGACAGCCTTTCTTGGCGACCCCCGTGAAATGGTCGATCAACCCCAAATGGGGTCCCGACCCACAGGTTGAGAACCACTGCTCTAAGGGGCTTGACCCTTACTTTATGCCTACATAAAAATGCATAGAGATAAATGACATAAATGGGAAAAATGTACTAATCTGCAGAGCTCTCAAGACAGGCATTGGGTTCATCCATAATGCTAACTCAGAAAGTGTTGGGTCTGGGTTAGCCTCTTTTGGTAAGACAGTGAGTGTGCTTTATTTAGCAAATTAAACAAGCCATGGCTAGTGCAATGTGGGAGCTTCACCAATGTTTTATCTCTGAATGCAATAACACTCTTCCAATCAGAGCTGGTGAAAAATCTGGGCTCATTGTTTATAGTTGAAAAACAGGTGGCAGCCTTAGTTTAGAAGACATTTATAACAATTCATCTTGTGTGCCAATTGTTCCTGTTGCCAGATCAAGAGGCCCAACACATGATAACTCATGCCTTAGTCATCTCTCAGCTGGATTACTGCTATGTGCTCTACATGGGATTTGCCTTCATTCAACTCTGTGAGCTGTACTGGCTCCCAGTTGGCTTTCAGGTGCAATTAAAGCCTTATAAAGCCCTACATGACATGGGACCAATTAAAGCCTTATAAAGCCCTACATGACATGGGACCAAAATAGTCATGAGCGCATCTGTAGCTGGTCATTATGGTTTCCCCACCAAAATCTGCAGGATTGGCATTCTCTAGGTCCCTTTTATTAGGAAATATCTTGTGGGACTTAGAAGTCAGGCCTTCTTAGTTGTGCTGCCTGCCTTATGGAACAATGGCCCTCCCTGCATCCAAGAGATAGGATAGCCTTGACTCTTAAGCAGGTTTTGCTTTTCTGGGCCTTAGGTGGTGGGGTAGGGATAATAGGTGTTAATTGGTCTTTTGATTAGAACATCATTGACTATATGTCGAGGTAACAATTCTGATAAAACAGATCTAGAATCTAGGGATTTCACAAATATAGTGAGGATGACCTTTTCCTCTTTGTTCATCTATGAGATTAAAACACATTGTTTATTTCTTACCAAATATCAACAGGAAACATGGTGGCAATATGCAAAATAAAACATCTGCTTCTATAAGATCATCTTGTAATACTACGAATTTCTGGTAAGGAACGTGTCTTTCAGGCATTCTTAGAAAATTGTTTTTAAAAAACCCTCATACCCACTTTCTTGAAAGGAAGCCAAAGCCAAAGATAAACTGGGCAGAAAAGAGAATTTGGGGGTCCTGGAGAAAGTGTTGTTTTATGAATGATCATGGCAGCCATTTTGTAAATAAGCAAGCCCTTTTTCCATAACATCCATTTTGTGAAAGTACCTATAATGCGTTTTAAAAATTACAAATGTGTCTCTAGTCCCAAAAAGTTGCCAGACTTAAATGTGGACTAGATATACGGCTTCTTGTCATTGATGCTTATAGTGAGTCAGCTTAATATAAGTCAGCTGATTCAAGCTAGCTAGAATTTTCCAGCCAACATTTATTGGTTCATTTGGGGCAGGATAGAAATTGATAAAATAAATGAAGCTCTCCTGTTTCCTTCAGTATATTCATTTCTATGTAAATGAACCAAACTATACATTCCTTAATTTCAGGAAAGCAATGGGCATGTGTTTCAAAACACAAGAGGTCAATCACCCGAAGGCTAACTATCTCTTCTCCAACACTCTCCTTATAAGCATTTTCCCATCACAGAGGCTGCTTAATCCCCACAATAAAGATTCCCACGTAGGGGCTGGAGAAATATTCTCTTCCAAGGTTAATCATGGCTTTAGTAGATCATCTTAACCAAAACTGCAACAAGAGACAAGGTTTAACCGTTCCCATGACTGTTTTGATTCCCCCATTCTCACATATCTATCGCAGCTATTTCCACTAAGGTTAGGTCTGGCCTCCAGCCCAGGAGAAAACAAAAATGTACACTATTAGTCTATTCCTGTAAGAAGTCTTTCTCAACCTGGATCCATTCAGATGTGTTGAATTACTAACCCCATAACTCCAGCCGAGCATGGCCATTGCAAAGTGTCCTTGAAATAGTATTGGCTTGAGAGATGCTGTTAGATAGCAAAATTTGGCTTACGGTGAAATCCTCATACTTCAATGGAGCATAGCTATAATTAATTTAAATCTGAGGCAGGGTAAACATGTTAAGTAACCTATTAAAATAAACTTGAACCCACTGTCTTTAAATCAGGTTAGATCATGTTGCAATTCACAATGATGTTTCTTAATTCCAAAAACTAAGTATACTTCTCACCGTCTCTGGATTCTTCTTCACAGACTTTTGACTCCTGGCAAATGAGACAATTTTTTTCTTCAGTTTTTCCTTCTGGCTTTCCTTGAAAAGATATAAAGTATAAAAGTGATATTTCCCTAAAAACAGGGGTTAGTGATTATAACTTGCAGTTATTAATTCCTTCACCATACAATTCAGCTGGAATTCTAAGGGAACTGAATTTACAATTAAATTTTTTTAAGACTGAGGACTTGTAAGTAAAATCAGTTAAAATTAATTTTAATGGCAAAATTCAGCCAAAATACAACTCTTTTAAATCAGGCTACTTTCAACAAGAACATGTGGTACACATGATTACATTTCTTGAATTTGAAATAACTTAGAATTAAAAGTAGTTAATTTTACTGAGACCTTATCTAAAATAATGGAATGTATTTTAGAATGTTGTTTACATCATTTTTAAAAGCCCAGATTTATTTATTTATTTTGTATGACCTTTGTAACCTTGGGTTACTATTTTTCATTCTTAAAAAAAATAAAACATTCTTTAAAAAAAATAATTTAATTTGAAAAATGAAAACAAAACGCAAATTCATTATCATTTATTTTTCTAAAGCTACTGGAAAGAACAATTTTGCCAATATAATTTTACCTTGAAGTTCTTCTGCAGCATCTGAAATTTGGTGTACCGAATTCTCTGCCAAATGTTTGGCACCTTCTTGATTTTCTTCTACAAAGGGAGAGCTGGGATTGATCGCTGTAATTTCACATGGAAGTATCTCAGAAGAATTAGCTAGCTGATCAATAATATCAATAACCTGGAGCTGAGGTTTTTCAGAAGACATGTTCCGATTAAATTCAGACATACTGGCCGGAGCTTGGATATCTTCTGTCATGATTAAAGTCGTGTCCAGATGCTTCCTAGCAGATTTGTATCCAGTGGCAATTAAAAAAAGAATCCTATAATTATTGCAATATTCAAGCCAATTGTTCTGTGTAGGTGTGTTTGTGTGCTGAATAAAGAATGGTTGAAGAATCAACAAGCTTCCCTTCCCTTCAAGTTGTTGCAACCAAAATAGAGAATAGATGTGACTTGGATTTGTCCGAGCTCTCACAAGAAGCCAGCCAATCAGTAGCTCTCCTGTCACTTAGCCTTTCTGTTGCATAATAAATGCACTATTTTCAATTTACATAAACAAACAATCTACAAGCAACAGAGCTTTTTGTGCTGGCATGCAAAGCTGAGCTTTCCGCATATCAGCCCCACTGAAATAAGCAGAGATTTTGTCCATCCGCTATAAAGCTTCTTTGTCCATTCGCCTTGAAACAAGAGTGTGATTGTCCCAACCTTTTAATCTGCACCAAGTGACCACCTTAAGGCACAGTACTGAAGTATAAACAGATTAACATTCTCCAATAGGTTAAATGTTCTGGTTAAACCTTGATATCCTCCTGGATCAGACAAAGAATTCATTTGACATTTGTGAAAGAATAAAAGTGGGCACTGGATAATCTTGCTTGTGACTGCATCACTTTTTTTTTTCCAAGATGTGTTATTCTGGGTACAGTATACTTTTCTCTCCTGCTCTCTCCCCCATTTTTAACCTGGCATTTTAAAAAATAAAATAAAATAAAGTCTTACATAAGGTAATAATGCTTTTTAAAAATCAATGTATTGAAAAAAAATAGTAAAGGAGACATTTCTAGGGTTGTTGAGTCAAGGCAGCAAAATGGAGTTTACAACTGTCAAGTAGATCTTGAAGATCTGTCTTCAGTTCTATTTCTCTACGCTCTTAAATGTTTCAGTGAGTTGTCTGAACATTTCTGTCATTACAGATCAAGGATGCCACTCAAGTGTCTTTCCTCCATCCCAGGACCTAGTAGATAATATCAGAGATTGATTTACAGCATTGCTGCACCACAAAACCTCAGATCAGACTCTTAACACACTACCTTTCCTCATCCAGATTCCAAAGACTATTTGGCATAGGTATCTTATACAACAACTGGTAACATTTGCAAGGTGTATGTGTATGGCAGTTCTCCAGATAAGCTCCAATGATATGCCACAAGACACTTTTCTGGTGGATATTATTATGTATTTCCAAGGCATTACAACTGCATGCCTCGCTTGTCCTGTCCAGATGTGAAAATTCCCACTAGCAATCTGTCAAGGATGTGAGCATCCAACATTGTCATCTTGCCCCAGCCCATCAGAAAAGCAGCCTTTACCTTTTTTTTTCTTTTTTCTTGCTTCCCATCAAAAGTGGAATATTCACATTTCTGCCATCTAGTTCATGAGCTTTAGTGACAGAATAAACAGTATGGAATGTTGGAAGTACATATTTTATAAAATTCAGCAAAGGGAAACATTGATCTACTTCTGTAGAAAAAAACAATTTAAGTTGAATGATATTCCCATTGACGATGTATGTGTTATATTTTTCTCCGTTTTTTTTTCTTCTTCCTTTTCCACAGTCAACCTGCTGGGCTCAGTTCCAACACTGGGAAATGGAAGAAAAGCCCAGAAGCTTTAAGTCAGTGGTTCTCAACCTTTTTAATGCCCTGACCCCAACCGGTCGTAAGTTGAGGACTAAACCGGTCGTAAGTCGAGGACTAAACCGGTCGTAAGTCGAGGACTACCCAACCGGTCGTAAGTCGAGGACTTTCCCTGCCCGGGAGCGCCGCGCATGCGTGGTTCCGCCCCCTGCGCCGGCCGAGGCGTAGCTGGCAAGCGGCAGAGACGGAGCAGGCTGACCACCAGCTGGCCCAGCCCAAGGGAGGTAAGGAACCCGCCGGAAAAGGGGAAAAAAATGGCGGACAAAAAAAATGGCGGACAGCCTTGCTTGGCGACCCCCATGAAATGGTCGATCGACCCCAAATGGGGTCCCGACCCACAGTTTGAGAACCACTGCTTTAAGTGGTCACTGAGATTCTTCTAGTAACTGAATATCTGATCTCTGATGGTCAGTCATCACTGAGAAACAAAGTGGAGGTAGTTAATGAATGCCTTAGCTGTGTGTGCAAATAAAATGTGTCATTAAGTGACAGACCTTGCGCCCGACAACTTTCATGCAGGAGATCTTTTTGTCTGTTGTAGGGAAATGGCATTGCCTGAAAGTCACCTCCCCAAGGAATTGCCTTCCTCCTTACATATCCATGCACAGTTTGCAATCTGTGACAAGGTTTTCATGTTGTGTTTATTGGGCATGATTTGCTAAGCAAAACCACAATTGGGATTCACACATAGCGAGCCATGATTTATCAATGCCGCCACTGGGTTTACACAACATGCTAAGCTCAAGCTATTACATCTGACATTATTGCATCAGATTCAAATGGTGATGACCAAATATAAGATTTTGGTTGCCTCCGATACTTGTCTGTTTAGAAAATCTTGGTCCCAATAAATCCAACTTCCAAGAAAGAGGACATTTTCTATATCTGACATCCTTTGTACCTGAAGCCTAAGACTCTTCTTATTGGATCCTACATTGTTTTCTAATTATTTTGCTATTTCAGGTGAAAGACTAGATCAGGGGTAGGCAACCTTGGCTCTTTTATGACTCCTGGACTTCCACTCCCATAATTCCTGAGCCAGCATGGAATTGAAGTCACCCATCCCAGCTCCGGAAATGCGAAAAAATTCGTGATATGCCGCAACATGTCACATGACACAGCAAGTTTTACACCCGTGCTCTAGACATTAGAGTGAATTACTTTTAAGTATAAGTAATGGCCCATTAAGTCTACCTTGACTCCTGTTGACCAGGGGGAAAAATCTATTCAGTTTTCCAGAAGTAGTTTGCTATAGCCTTATTTTTAAATTGAATGATTTGCTAAAAATCAATGAGCAAGGCAAAAGTAAAATTCAAGGCCTCTTAGTTTCTAAGAAAACTGTATGATATTACCAGAAACTTAGTTCAACCCAGAAGGCATTTACTTTTACCATCATACTATTTTTTTCCTGGAGTATTATATAGTATATTAAATATCTGACCAATTCCCATTGGATCCAGACTTAGGACATTATCAAAGATGCTTCTTGAGACTGCAGATCAGGCGTCTGCTTGTAGCCAGCCTTCAGTCTACCACTCAGCAAAACGATGGAAGGCTTCTCCTACATGAAGTATGAAAAGAAGTGCTTTTAGGAGGCAAACTCTGGAATAGCAAAAACATATCTTTGTAGAAGCACATTAAGAAAGAACCAGCATATTTATTTGAGCTGCAAATACAGAGAGATAAGAAATTAAGGAATAATTAATATTTTAATTTTAAAAAGTGAGCATTTCCAGGTTTTCTTGGACTGTATTGCAGCAACACTGCTCTATTGGTCTTTTGTTCTGAAATTAAAATGGTATTATCCAGCTGGAAGCTAAGGAAATACATCTGTTAGCCATTAAATATCCTTCTCTGACAGTCTGATTTCTAGATAGTTCTGCTATTAGCAGCAGCACTTGCTGGTGAAAACAATGCACATTTTCAGTGATGCAGCAGATGGCAGCACTTAGCTTATGTTAGCTGATATCAAGAAGCTAAACAGAGTTAGACTTGATGGGAAATCCCAGGGCTGTGTAGACTAGTCCAAGAAGTCACCACCAAGTAGGAAGAAAGCACGGTCAACCAACTTCCATACTGTTGCCAAGAAAGTTATAAGGACATGTCCATGAAGTCACTTGGAGGCAAGTTTGACTCAAATGATTGCCTTAATTGTCTTCTAAGCAAGTAGAACATACATCTGAAGGCAAATCCACAAAGCATAACTACATTGAATATTCTGATGCTCCTGCCAGTCTGGGATCATCCATTAAGACCCAGCTTTCATCTCTGATTAATAAGACAAACGGGCAAATTATTGAATGTTAATGATTGATCAAAACATCTTTGCAACCATTCACAGGCCACGTTCAAATAGATGCCTATCAATAGCAGCTGATCCCTACAGTTGCCTTTTTTATCCAGAGATCAAACAGGAGAAGAAGAAAAAAAATCCTGTTTTCCAGGACACCAAGAAAACCTAACCTCAAGATAAAGGTTAGCTTGCTTGTGAAACTCTAGATGACAAAATGAACAGAGGGTTGTTGTTTCATCTACCAACCTTATGGATTTGGTGTCTCTTCAGAGTACCTTCAGAGAGCAAGCATTTGGGAAGACAACCTATAGATCAGGGGTCTTCAAACTTGGCCCTTTTATGACTTGTGGACTTCAACTCCCAGAATTCCTCAGCCAGTGTGACTGGCTGAGGAATTCTGGGAGTTGAAGTCCACAAGTCATAAAACGGCCAAGTTTGAAGGCCCCTGCTATAGATTAAAGAACTTGAAGGAAACTGTTCTTCCTCACCTGCTCCTATTTCAGTCAAACGGAATGCATTCCAACCCTAACTTGGAGATAATTTTTAGTATACAAAGGCCTTTGGCTATTTTATCATTAATAATTGTGCATGTAACATCACAGAACAACTGGAAATAATCTCTTCGATACTGAAGATAATTAAAACCAGCTGGAACCAAAAAGGGTTTTTTTATGATTATAATTCAGAATATCCTCCCTTTTCTCTCCTGTGCCAATTTGTATCTCATTGATATGCTGCTTGGAAAGAGGTAGGGGGTTTTTTTGGGGGGAGGGGGCAGACTGAAGGGAAATAGGCTGTGATCCA